TCAATAATCTGACTGATTATATTACTTCTTTGCGCTGCGTATAATAAACCGCGTGTGAAACTGTTTTTGAATATGACCGCCGACTCCCAAACTAAATATTCTTTTCAGGCACACTGATAAATATGTATGATTCTGAAAAAAACAACTATCTTCAACTATATGAAAGACAGATCGTCATAGTCTAATTGCATATTTTCTAGGTACTCGAACTTCTTATTGCGGCTTTCTGACAAAATAACAGAGGAACAACGACGCAAATGTCAAACCTTCATCTGGATAGCGCCACAACCAGAACAGCAGCAATATGAAAATATATATTACAACAGGGTACGTATTTAAACAAAATTTCGCGCTTCGGTTCTTTGCATCGGAGGAGTCAAATATTCGCAAAGCGCATCCACAGGCTGAGGAGAGTGCAATAACCCGCAGACACATAAGGATCATAAGGATATATATTCATCCAGCAGTGAATCGATAAAAGCTGATGATTACGATCTTCCGTTATTCGCTGAACAGTACATTTCGGACGCCTGACTGGCAGTACATACAAGCATTCCACACTAAGATGCCAGAAAGCACGCAAAAAGCACTCCATACATATAATTTAAACGAAAATTCTGTTCCGCGCCACCGTAAACTTCGTTTGTGTAATCTGTTACTAATGCGTGGCTGACATCGGTCAAAAATGAATTTGCTAATAGTTTCATGAACAGTTTGCCTACTTGTTTTGTTAAATCGTTAGTAGTGCATTATTTAATTTGCTGCCTAAAACCATGCTCATAAAAAAGAATGAAGTTTTCCTGACTTTGTTGAAACAGTAAAGTTTGAACATTGAATATCAACAGAAAATGACTTGACGCTTCTCCAACCTCCGCGATAAAAACCAACCGAATTCAAAAGATAAAATAAATGTTTCAGGTTCCTTCTCTAACGAAACATGCAACCAAATGGACAGAATGAGAAGTTTATTACGAATAAAATGGATGGTTACTGATACCTTTCGCCAAACGTTTTCCCCTGAAGTACACTGCAACACGGTACATTCGCGTATTTGTCGGACCTTCCACTCTGACCACTTTATACTGAGGAATATCAGGTTCTCCGCCATCAGGGTTTCGTAGAGTAAGGCAACACTGCTGGAGCTGAGATTTTGGGTCATTCCACTTTTGCGATATGATAAAGTACTGAAAGCAGCGAAGTATAAACAAAAGGGAAGAATACAAATTACCTTTAGGCGAGGATAAAAACAAACTTTGCAAAACACTTTACACCATTCAAGTCCTTTATCAACGTAAAGTGAACCCAAAAATGCTGAAAAATATAAAAAAATATGAACATGAAAATTTCATTAAAAATCACCTTCGACCAAGTCAGCTTTGTCTTTCATACGTAGATCTTGCGTTCCTGTTTTGAGAAATATCGGAGGATGAATAATGTATTTCGCTAGGCCCAAATCGTCACAGATTACTGACTGCGTTTTATTATTGACCAGACAACTCCGCAGTAACTAAAAGTAACTACTTAAAATGCATGAAAATATTTCGCATTTCGTCTCAAGAATTAAACGAGAAGCGACGCTGAGTCACGGCTGGTGCAGAACCGCTACGAAATGAAACAGCTTGGCGTATTAGCGTATGCAGCATATGAGTAACCAACAATCGCGATAACTTCCAAACACTGTAAACAGGGGCATAAGAAACAACGCTCGGCACCTTGCTGCGTTAGAAACATTTACAACAAATTGTTGTTGTCATGCAAAATTAGCATAAAAGGTGTAAGTTTCATGAAAAATCAATAAGACTCATTAGTCATGAAGCAAAGTTACGGCCGGAATTATCTTCATAGGGCCTTTAATGCTCGAAGCGTATATACGACTTTCAGAAATCTCATATGCTCCCAAGGAATAGCCCGCCGAAACGGCACCAAGGAAAACCAGCTCATCTGAGACATATTTATTGGTGTAAGCAATATCAACAAAACGACAGGCTTACAAACATGCTATCTGAGTGTGTAGAACAGCAATGACCAGAAGACAACAGCTCGCTCAAAAACAGATCGAAACCCCATCGGTCGAGGGTGTCGGTTCAGATCAATTTTGATTAATTGTTACAATTAAAAAAACCACGCATGTGACTAAATTACATACATAAGTTATCCTCCAGAGTAGTAACTCGTAGATCGACTAAAACTGATTCGCTGTTCAATGTAAAGCGGCACCTTATAGCTATGGGCATTTAATGGCTCACAACAGCAATCTTAGCGAACTGTTTGTCTTAAACATCAGATTAGCTATCACAGATTAATGAAACCAGTTTTGGGAAAGGAGTTATGTAGCTAAAGTCGTTCGCATGAGAAAAGTTGTTGCATCTGGGATGGAATTTCTGCAGAATTCCTGGTTTAATGACCTTCGAAGGAAGAAAGACAAGTGAGCTGAGGCAGTTCGAACGAAGAACTGAAAGAAAACATGATCAGTACGATTTTCATCTCTAAATTTGTAAGTACCTTGGTGACGTGCCTGGTCGTTCGTTTAGTTGCAGTTAGCAGAAGCAAGTTTCATTTTCACTTTGCGAAGGTTTACTTATTATGAAAAGTAACAAGTACTACAGCACTAATCCATAAACGCATGAACAGATTACAACATGAACGGTTATACTTTATAAATGAAACTTATGTACAAAGAAGGAGGATTACACGAAAAAGCGAGTTCAAAATAGATGTCGGCGAGAGAGAGTATCGGAAATCTCTTCTAATCTGTCGACTGGTTTTTCTCTGATGAAGACTACATTTCCATTAACCGAACGATATGTTTTCCCTTGAAGAAAGCCTGTGAAACACAGGCCGAAACGTCGGTAGTGATCTACAAGCTAGAATCATTCCTTACTTCGTATTTCAGATCGACTACCACCACATGGCCAAAATACTCTAACAGGTACTTCTAAAAGTGTTGCGGATATGTTAAAGGCGAATCAGCTTGCCATGTGGTTGAGCATTCAAACATAACTATATTCCATAGTACAGACTATATCCTTGTCGAAAACTAGGCGACGAGAAAGAAACAGGCTCAACTGTCAAGAGTGAATCATATATAGATATTTCAAGAGCAGTTTGAAATC